TCTTTACTCCATGCTGTGCTGACATGTTGAACTGAGACATTATCCCATTTGTGAGGAGGCTGTTGATAAATATAACAGAAAAATGTGTGAATAAGCAATACATTTTAGCATGTGTTCAATTAATTTATCATTATTTTATTTTGTTTGAGACATACCTTCTCATCGTTCGATATACAGTGTCTTTCAATGAACTCCCACATACACATACCTCGAAACACATACGATTTTCAGGTAAATTGGTGGTGTCATATGATTAAGGGAGAATCATAGACGAAAATAAGGTAAAGTTTGAATATATTTATTCACATATTGATAGAATATTTACAAGTTGAAAACTATGCAAAACGCTGTTAAAACGGTGTCATACTCTTCTCCTATTATGTACTCTTGATATATATATGTATTATAAACAGAACTTCGTTGTCGAGAAGGGAAACAGTTCGTACCTACGTTTCCTACCACACTACTTCCTGCGGTGTACTTGTGTGTTGCAGATGAGCATTTGACCGGCATTTACGGGTAATTAGCGACAATAATAGGCGAAATAGAGTAGAGAAACATTAAAGGGACAGTAGCCTCTAGGATTTTACTGCATACAACTGTACTTACTGTATAACAAATCGTCTATACCCACATGTATTTGTCACCAGATACCTAATTTAATTGTTATAATTAATTACACATCAACGCTACGAAATTTGAACGGCGCCATGACCAGCGAAAAAAATACACAGGAGCGGCGAGCGATTTCGCTCCCGTCAGCTTTCAAAGCGCTCCAGATGGTAACAACAATTACGAGAGCGAAAATTTTGGAAGATACAAGAGAAAATAGCTCCCGTGCCGCCGGCAGCGTTCGAAATTAGTTCTGACCCAGAGGCATGAGCCCACAAAGTTTTTGCTTGTGCCACCATCTCTACGAAATTGCCGGTCCTCCTGACCGGCACTTTTTCCCCTCATATTACGCTGAAATACTACGGTTATCGCAACGGAAGTTTAGACAGACTTGTAAACGGGAGCGCATAATACGACCCGTTCCTCAACGTAGAGAGCTGAGTGAACTCCCTCAACGCATGATTCGCCACACGAACAAAAACTCGCGACAGTCTAAGAAATCGATTGTGGCATCGCCGGCATGCCAGTGTTTTTATGACCGAATAACAATTAGTTTATATATCACAGGGGTTATCGTGGGGAGTGAGGGCACAACCAGTGACAGCTGACACGCACGTAATCAAATCCATTAACTGAATTCGTCACTTTTCTTAAAATGTAGAAAGTGGACTGTTTTTATTCAGTTAGATGTCTAGAAGCAATGTAAACTGTGTATGTACTTAAAGATTCTAGGCACTTGTAACTTTGCGGATGTGTGGCAGCATTGATCTATGCATGGGGGTACCGTGGACTGGGGAGGAGAAAAACGAAAGTAAAACCTTACCCAGAAGCTCCCCCGACATTCCTAGAGATTGAAACATTATTTGACCAACTCTAATTAAGTTACATGTATGCTGTTTTAATGCCAATGGTTATCTCTATATATACTATTTTGTTACTCACTGCTAGTAAATAAGCGGACCACCAAATTTTTGTGCAGGTCCACCAACTTTCTGAAGTTAGTGAAGTTGGTGGTCCTGCTGTCCACTAGATTTTCAGCCGAAATTCGGACCCTGCGGTGCCGGGCTCGACAATCCTGCTTGCCCGATGGCCCGAGGCAACCAAAATTCGCCCCCGGGCAAGTAGCTTGAAATTGCATTTGCCTGTTCGGGCAAGCAAGTTTTTTTTATTGACTGGCTAGACACTAAAGACATAATGAGATTTTTCTGTTTCCACCCGTCCCTAGCATTGTTTTGCACAGACATATAAGCTGCCTTGCTGCGACAAGATTTGAATGAAAAAAAAATAATGCGAATGAGACAATCAGTGTATGCATTCATACTAAGTACACAACATGCATACAGCAACATGTAAACCCAGCCTCCGTGATTTTGTCACCATTATGAAAATTAGGTGACCTCGTCGATTTCGCCAAAGCATAATCTTGACTTTCGTTTGGGAAACACCTTTACGATAATTCGACACAATTTCTGGCTTATGAGACATTATTAGAGTCGAGTCAGTGCATCAAAATCATGAAAATTGTAACAAAATCATGCTATGAAAAAGTAGCTCTGGTCAAGCCTAAAATAGCTTCCGTAAAAAAAATTACGAGAGCTCTTTTTTTCATACAAAATCCAAAAAAACCTCTCGTAAAAAAAAGAAGTAATTTTTAGGCTGGCCATGACACCCGCGACCGTGCTGCCACCCCGAAAAAGTTGCGTATTTGCCAATTCATTTTGCACGTTACAGCCTGAGGGCTAATCACAAAAGTGCAATTATATTTATACCTAGATGCTATTTAACCAAAAAATATTCATTTTAGGGCAAATTTATCCATATTATAACTGAAACTATATGTCGTTTATAAGATATTACAATCCTTTTGCTTTTAAATGAATAAATAAGAAACATCCTCGGTCTGTAGCCCTTGCTGGAAAGTGGTTTTGCGCAACTTATCAGATCGTGCGCTTTGAGTGGCGCCACCGTCGTTGTAATGAAACTGTAGTCGTTAGTTTCAAAACATTTTCTTTAAATATTTCTAATGGTGATAGAACCATGAAACTTTTCATGTAGCGTAATTATAACCTAAATTAGCTAAAAATAACCCAAGAACCTAGAGTAAACTCTCCCATTAAGACTTTGGTAGTAAACACATTTCGTGTTTATTTACTTTTTTTATTGAGACGTTCTAAATCCAAGTGCCTGTGCTGTGATCAGATCAGTTTCAGTGACTCATTGATGATCAAGAACCTCAGCTGCTAATAGGGGCAGCGCGTCTCCCAAGTCCGAAAGGCGCCGAATTATTTTATTTAATTTTTTTTTGAATTAGGGATAGGGTTAGGGTTAGGATTAGGATTAGGGTTAGGGTTAATTAACTGATTTCTATAGCCACAACTTATTTATACTAATAATGCGCCATCTAGCGGATCACTATCTCTCCCCTGAGACCTACTATTTCGGACTTGGGAGACGCGCTACCCCTAGAGCCTAGACTCTAGAGCCTAGAGGCATTCAAGAACCTCAACAGAGGAATTCAAGAACTCATTCTTGCCACGGACCATCGTGGACTGGAATGCCTGCACACAGACCGTAATCGACGCCATCTGTGTCGCGGTCGCAGCCGGGAGCGCCTAATTTCACCATGCCCCACCACCTGCGTCATAATACGCGTATACGCGGTCGACGCAGTACACAATCAAGATCAAGATGATTGCATGCAAAGATCGAAACCTTTAAAAACTGACTGGTTGGCCGAACAAACACGCAAATTATCAGCGAATTCCTACCTTGACCCTAACTCTAACAGCCTCCCTCTCTGACATATCAAATGGACACGCCATAACGATGTTGTGTTCAAATATCTGTAAAACCGTGGGTAAATATTTCACTTTCGCCCTCCATGTTATGTTGACGTCACGTGTCGTAAGGTCTGTATCGTCATCGTCGCCGCGGCTGTAGTTATCATTACATTATATGATCATTATATGCTGTGCTAAATATAAAAACACAGTCACTAAAAATAACAACACAAATATAATCAATAGAAACAAGCTCACTTTATGAGAGAATTATATATTTATTTTATATAAACCGCAAAATAACAATAACTATCAAAATAACCGTGCCAAATAACACAGCAGACGCACCAAGTGTACCGCTGCGATCGTTTCAGTGCAACATGCTGATCCCGGTGTCCCGTTAAAAGTTCAGAAAGTCCCGATCGTAAATTTTTTTTAGCCATATTTTAAAATTTACATCAGTAAGTTACTATATTTGCCGTGGTTGTTGATGTACTTTGATTGCAGCGAACAATAAACCTAAAAGGCCACAAAGGTCTTAACTAACTGGAGAGAATGTTTTACTCATAGGAGTGTGTTATCGATCACCAGCTAGTAGTAGTACACAGGAGAACAATTGAGGAGTTGATTGATCTATTCTCTAAGATAGTGAGTGGACAGGAGACGCATGTTCTGATTATGGGTGACTTTAATATACCCGAGGTTGATTATGTGAACTATTGCACCAGTTGCAGCCCACTGTCATTCCACAGTAGGTTCATCGACAAGACACAGGACATGTTTCTATTGCAACATGTGACGGTACCGACAAGATATAGAGAAGGTCAAGAGCCATCTAAACTTGATCTGATCTTCACAAATGATGAGAATATACGATCGAGGAAGTGAGTTGTTTGGCACCCATCGGGAAGAGCGATCACGTTGGACTAGCATGGACGACCATAACACACCTGGACCCAAACAGCCTGAAACACAAGTACGAAGGCCGAAACTACTGGAAAGGAGATTATATATCTTTAAACACAGAAATCAAAGCCACTGATTGGAAGACAGTATTGGGAGGTTTGGACACCAACAGTGCTTGGCAGGAGTTAGAGCAAAGAATTGAAGACCTTATAGTAGGAGGAATGTACCAGGGAAGAGACCACCGAATAAGAACCAGACACCAAGATGGCTGACCAACCTGTTCGAAAAGCAATACAGAACAAGAGAGACCGGATACAAGATGGCCTTGCGCAGAAGATGCGTTGTTCCACGACCGCCGAAAGCGGTTAAGCCGCGCACTTCCGCGGGACTGGGCGCACGCGACCGCGGGATGTATATAGCTATAGCTCCCCGCTGTCCGCATTCGCGCGCCCAAGGAAGCGCACCGGTTCGCGGCGCGAATGCGTATAGCGGGCAGCCTAACATCGCGCAGTTTTCGGAACACGTACATCGGCTCGGCTACATCGGCTTTGAGGGGGGCTTTCCGATTATGGATTGACACGCGTTTGTACATTCGTCGCGTTGTACCGTCACCTGCCGTATTTTCGTACCTTATCTGGCGTTCTCCCACTCTCTTTCTCTCTTCTCGCACTCCCACAGTCTGCTCTTCTCTCTCTCTCTCGCTCTCTCGCTCGCTCTGCGCACGGGTTAATAAGGATTATAAAGGTCTTCGGCTCGCGCGGCTCTCTCGCCGTGCGCGTGTACGTGACGGCGGCAATCTCCGACCTTCGTAGTTTTCCATAGACTTGAAGGCACAGGCACTTGAAGCGTTTCAATAGATATAATGCTAACTAAATACACTCGCTGTATTTCATACGATTTAAAAAGAAATATCATCCAACAGTCGGGTAAATGTATTTACTTAGTACAAAATCTTAATGTTTCGTAATACTATAGCCGTATAGGCTAGGCCTACTCTGTTTCACCTACGGATATTGAAAAAGTTTGCGAACGTTAAATGCAGAAAGGTTTTGCCGGCAGTTAATTCTTAACATTCGTAGACCTTCAGACGCCCGCACTGATTCTGCTGTGGGAGCACATACGGCTGACGCCACGGCGGCGGGTTCTTTTTGCCAGAGAACGTCTAGTGGGAATTCTGAGTCTAAACAAACATCAATCAACGGGCTTAGCCAATGAAGTCAGGGGAACCAACATGGCTACGATAATGAAAAGCCGACGTCACGATTCGAGTTAGACTGGTACGGACGTTAATTCGGCCAAGTCTCTTTCGCTACACTAAACTTATAGTTAGTGCAGCGTGTCGAACTCTCCACCGCGGGGCAGTCTAAGCCTATTCGCCGTTCCTGGTGTGGAAAATTCTCTGGAAAATCCCTCGAAGAGAGCCTCGTCGCGCCATCTATGGGACGCCATATGTACGAGAATAACTTCAGGGCGTTAAATTCAATAAATTGAAAATCGCTTTTCTAGAGGAAAACGTAAAGCGCCGACCAAAAAAATTAGCAATTACGACCATTGGATTTATTCTCGCCCTACGTGCAGAGTCGAAAGGCTTCTGCAATCGCCAGAACTGCTCAATTGACCGATTATCCGGCTTTCTGTAGTACCCAGAGGGCTTCGAGTAGTTAGTTCTACATAGAGGGCAGCGAATTGGATGAAAAGGCGCCGCGAGGCGGCGCTGTTCGCGCTTCGCGCGTATATCCGGGCTGCAGATCGTCAAGAGGAAATTTTACTTAAAAGTACTGTAGACTACGCAGAGAAAAAGATTAGGCCAATTATGTTAAACAGAGAAAAATCACTTCCAACTTAATTGTGTAACAAAGCCAAGAAAAATTGTGACCCGCTCCAGCATAATACGGACTAAGTCACAAGTCATTGTTTTGAGTAATGAGCACACACACATGTCAATGCTGAAAATGGCCTACCTGGACAAAAAAGAGATTTTTACACAAATAAGTTCCTAAGTGCATATTTAATCCGGATATATAGGTTCAGATATCTCTAGATTATTATGGTCATTTTTAATTTAAAAAATAAATAAATAAAAAATATTTTGAAGGACCCCTGACCGCTCATCCCTTGGCTCATTGACTGGGCCCCTTACCCGGAAAGCTTTATCTCAAAAGCTGCATATTCCAGAATAAGTCGGTTTCCGATCTTCAAATTGCTGTAGATCGGTCAATTCTTTAGATATAGCCAAATATTATGTATCATTTTAAAGGTAATTAAATAATCTATTCAGATATATACGCATAACTCAATTTGTAGAATTTCCTACTTAATCCTGGTTTTGCTGGAGTGGGTCACAATTATGAGCGAGGTCTTAATTGTTGATGTATTCAACAGCAACCCCAAGAAGTTTTATCGGTACGTGCGCGAGAAACAGAAGGTCAAAGCTGGAATAACTTGATTAGCTAAAAGAGAAGGTATGTTAACAGACAACGACCAAGAAGCAGCATCATTACTGAACAACTATTTCAAGTCGGTGTTTGTAAAGGAGCCAGTGGGTAACATCCCGAATTTTGTAGACAGAGTGCAACCTGGTACAAGCTTGGACAGTATTGAGATTACAGCTGCACACGTGGAAAAGAAGCTGAGAGAACTGAAGCCAGGCAAGTCACCATGCAGGACCTGATGGAACACACCCGAAACTGCTAAAATAATGTGCTGATGGACTTGTATTGTCACTCACATTAATATTACAAAAATCCTTACAGGAAGGGACCCTACCAACATAGTGGAAAAAGCGCAGAGTTTCGCCTATCTTCAAAAAAAGGAGTAGGACGGCTGCTGAGAACTACAGACCAGTTTCACTAACATGTGTGTGTTGTAAGGTCATGGAATCGCTATTGCGTGATGAAGTAGTAAAATTCATAGATGAGAACAAATTGTTTACAGAACACCAACATGGATTTACGTCGAGGAGCTGTCTGACTAATCTCCTAGAGACATTTGAGGCTTGGAGTAAGGCCATTGACAATGGTAATTGCATCGACACCTTCTTTTTAGACTATCAAAAAGCATTTGACACCGTTTCGCACATGAGGCTATTGAAGAATTGAAAGCGTATGGAATAAGAGGAACACTCATAAACTGGATTTAAAGCTTTCTCGAGGACTGTACTCGGAATGGTGCTCAGTAGATAGCAGGGTTCCGCAAGGATCGGTCCTAGGACCACTACTGTTCCTGGTATATGTAAACGATATCCCGGACATAGCGATTTGTGATATGAAAATGTTTGCAGATGATACGAAAATTTGGAAATCTATATCGACAACAACGGACTGCATGCTACTGCAGCATGATCTAAATATGATGTGTGAATCGTCAAGGAATTGGCTATTAAAGTTTCACGTCGGGAAGTGCAAACGGATGCATTTATAGGAGGAAATAACGAACAGTTTGAGTACTCAATGACCAATGAGGCTGAGACAAGAAGAATGTTAGATGAGATCACTGAAGAAAAAGATCTTGGGATATGGATAAATAGCGACCTGAAACCCACTCTACAGTGTACCAGAGTAGCAAACAAAGCGATGGGGGTACTGAGATCGATCAAATAAAAAAAAAGTACTGTGTGCAAGCCTGGTCAGCCTACTATAAGAAAGATATGGACCTGTCAGAAAAAGTGCAAAGAAGAGAAACCAAGCTAGTCCACTCTATACGTAACCTGGAATACGAAAGGAGACTGGAAATCCTAGGTCTATATTCACTGGATCAGAGGAGAGTGAGGGGAGACCTGATCAAAACTTACAAAATTTTAACAGACAAAGAAAACATTAATAGCAACCAATTTTTCACACCGGCAACCGGAACCACCAGAGGTAATCCCCTGAAACTATTCAAAAATAGATCCAGGCTGCACTTGCGACAGCACTTCTTTAGCCAAAGAGTGGTGAATGCATGGAACGCACTGCCAACATTTGTTGTCGAGGCCAAGACGGACAACTGCTTTAAAAACAAACTAGACTTACATTGGACAGATATGGGTATTATAATAGGCCAGGCCTAAACTGAACCCATCTAACCAACTAGAAATGAAAAACTTTTTTTTGCATTTTATTTTACATGTATACTTAATAAAAATTGGTGTTGCGCCGTGACAAACACATGTCGCAGCCCGCCACAACTTTTTTCCTGTTTTTTTTTGCGCACCGCAGCAGTCCCAATTTGGAAAAATTCAAGAAAGGGATCACAAGTGCAAGGGCATAGCCAGGAATTTGGATTGGGGGGGGGTAGCAAGTAGCGAGTAGCAAGGGTGGTCTGAAATTTTTTATTTGAGTTAAATGTAAAAATAGTGCTTTAAAATCAATTTAGACGCTGTTTTGTTGACAATACTATTTCTTCTGCAGCTCTATTTATTTTTTTGAATACGGTACTAAAAATATATAATGCCTATCTGATATCAGATAATTAAAATTGTAATTGTAATTTTTTTAATGAGGCCAGGATTAGGCCACCTACGCGCTTTTAAGAGAAAAAGAAAATAGAGAAAAAAAAATTTGGATTTTGATTTTGATTGGGGGGGTCCTAGGGACCCCAGGCCCCCTGGCTACGCGCTTGCACAAGTGATCCCTTTCTTGAATTTTCCCAAATTGGAACCTCTGTCACAGTTTGACGTGACTTTACATTTCTTCGCCTTTGATCTTTATCAAATTATATATAAGCTGAACACCTCATCTTTAGGTACATATAATATTCAGATTTAGGCACTGCCTAAAAGCAGAGCTCCCGACGTCATACCACGTGACAACGGTGTTACCCCCCTGCCCCTAAGACACAGACATGTGGATTTTTTCGTAATAGTATTAGCATATTATAATATCACAATGATAACCAAATGAAAATCACAATTTGTGACGGTAGATGGCACTACGTTGGAATTTGAGTTTTCTTAGCAATGCGCTGGTAATAAATTGTTATGCAGCGTTCCGACATGTTTTGCATAACTTTAATGTACTATAGACGTTTTATCGGCAGGGTGGTGGGAAAATACCAATTTTGCATTAAAGGGAGAGTTTACTCTAGGTTCTAGGGTTATTTTCAGCCTAATTTAGGTTATAATTACGCTACATAAAAAGTTTCATTGTTCAATCACCATTAGAATATTTTTTTTTAATGTTTTAAAACTAACGACTACAGTTTGATTACAGCGACGGTGGCGCCACTCAAAGTGCCGATCTGATAAGTTGCGCAAAACCACTTTCGAGCCAAGCGCTACAGACCGGAGCGGTGTTTCTTATTTATTCATTTAAAAGCAAAAGGATTGTAATCTCTTATAAACGACATATAGTTTCAGTTATATATGGATAAATATTGCCCCCTAAAATGAATATCGTCGGTTAAATAGCATTTAGCGTATAAATATAATTGCACTTTTGTGATTAGCCCTCGCGTCTGTAACGTGCCAAATAAATTGTCAAATACGCAACTTTTTCGGGCGTGGCAGCACGGTCGCGGTGTCATGCGCCGTTCAAATTTCGTAAGCGTTGATGTGTATTAATTATTAACATTTAAATTAGGTATCTCGGTAACAAATACGTGTGGGTATAGACGATTTGTTATACAGTAAGTACAGTTGTATGCAGTAAAATCCTAGAGGCTACTGTCCCTTTAAAGATATTTAAACAACACTAAATCAAATCGCGCCATCGAAAATGAAGTGGATGGGTTACTATCGCAAGCCAAAGTGGAATTAATTGCAACACATACATTTTAACACATTTTTAATATCAGGACTTTTATTTTCTTACTTAAAACACTTTTTTCCATAGTTTTTCTAAAAAATTATGTCAGAAAACAATTTCCATCTGAAGGAATTTACGATGTACTATTTTCAAATTCAATGTCAGGAATTATTTTCGTTCTGTAAAAATATTTTCATATCAGGAGCCATAAAATCATGTCCGAAAAAAATTTGCATCAGAAGGAATTTACGATGTACTATTTTTAAATTCAATAACATTTCTATTACCAATACCAGTACCATACACGCTTTTCACACCAAAACATTTAGATATCATTCTATATAGAACTCATCTATATTTTTATATCACCTTTTTCTCAAAATCTATCACTCCTCTTGGTAATTTCATCAGGCATTACAAATTATCCATACAAAAAAAGAATGATTTCCGTACATACCCCATATGATATTAGCTCCATGCCATGGTAATTAAGCTTTGAAAAAATGTTCATGTTAAATTGGCCCCACTGTAGTAAAACTACTGCTATGATGTTCATGCCTGGCATAAAAGTGCTTCATCTTCAGCATTAACAAAGTAGAACTTAGCATAGTTAAAATAAGTACTATCACTTTCTTGTTGGGTGATAATTTGGAGCCAGTTTGCCAAAGCTACAACATGATTTTACAATAATTGCATATGAAAACACTACATAGTAATACAGCACTTTAATACACTATGACGAAGTGGAACATGCCGTATTTTTACACCACCCTTCAAAAATAAATTAACAAGAAACAAATGCATTTCCTAGACTTGCCAGGATCAATAAAATTAATTCGACCAAACGTTTCAGAATGCATCGTGTCCTCGGACAGTGTGGCTCCCATCGACTGGGGGTGCCACCTAATCGGACTTCTTCACAGAGGGAAGGTTATTGTTGAGTGTGTCATTCTGATGAATGATATGTTTAGTATTGTTGTTAGAGTCCTGCCTCGTGGCGCCATCTGTCAACTGTGCTTTCTTCATGTAGCTCTGGATGTAGAAATTGGCGAAGAGCACTATCATTGTGAAGAGGTACCTGCACCAGAACAGCAATAAGAGGCGATTACAGCATCTGATGAGGTTAATGACTTAGCCGAAGAAAACCTTTCTACCCCCCCCCATCATCATTAATAATATTTCTCATCACAAGATAATGCCAATTTAAAATCCATCTATCCTTCCTCTCTCTCTCTCTCTCTTTCTCTCTCTCTCTCTCTCTCTCTCTCTCTCTCTCTCTCTCTGTCTCTCTCTCTCTCTCTCGATATATATATATTAGGGGTGCACCGGAACTTGGATCCGGCCGGAACTATCCGGCCAGATCTTAAATATTTCAGCATTCCGGTTCTGGCCGGAACCCTTCAGAAACAGTCGGCCGGAACCGGAACTTTTTCCTAATTTTATTTCTGCTACAAGCGTCATCAAAATCAAAAGATTAGTCACTGAATGTAGTTGAGAGTCAACTTGGTGACAATATAGTGTTAACAACTTCACACTTTTCTGCCCCAAAAACACTTGCCACTTGAACGTTGGCTATATAACTAACTGAACCGGACCTAACTGATGTTAGGTGATTCATAAGATTAATTTTCTTTCAAAATCAAATACTCTTAGAGCCACAGGAATCGCATCTGTCCGTTAGTTGATAATAATACTATTACTATTAGTAATAGTATTAATAGACTAAAACCAGGGGTACTGCAACATGCAGGTTTTGCCACAGAATTCGCTGTACTGTAAACAGCTGATTCATAAACAGTAACAACCAATGTCAACCATCCTGTATTTAGAACTTTGAGCATTGTTCTACTCGCCCTATAAGTGATGTGCCTACTAATGATAGTTCCGGCCAACTTAAAAAGTTGGATCCGGTGTAGGCCTACCTCTAATATTTATATATATATAGGCCCTATAACACATATTGGATCTGGCATGCCTTCAAAGTTATCTCTGAAGCCAAGTTAGGGTGATACTCCATTAGGAGTGTTCCCAACTTTAATGTCATTAATGGTCATAATAACATAATATATAATAGGAGTGTTTCACGTGACGTCATAAATTAGGTCACGTGTAGGCCTATTTGTTGTGTCATGGTTGGCAGAAGCGAAGCGTGCTGCTTGACATTTACAGATGAATGACCACATGTTCTGATAGAAAGCGCTGTTTATGTAGTGCACGTACACGTGCGTGCTGCGTGGGTGCGCGTGCACGTACACGTGCGTGCATGTGTGCGTGTGTGCGTGCGTGCGTGCGTATGAACTTACACGTGCGTGCGTGCGTGTGCACGTACACGTTCGTACGTTCGTGTGCACGTACACGTGCGTGCGTGCGTGTGCACGTACACGTACGTGCATGCGTGCGTGTGTGTGTGCGTGTGCACGTACACGTGCGTGCATGCGTGCGTGCGTGCGTGTGCACGTACACGTGCGTGCATGCGTGCGTGCGTACGCGTGTGCAAGTACACGTGTGTGCATGAGTGCGTTGGTGCGCACGTGCGTGTGTGTACAGGTACACGTGCGTGCGTGCATGCATGTGCACGTAGACGTGCGTGCGTGCGTGCGTGCGTGCGTGTACACGTACACCTGCGTGCATGCATGCGTGCGTGCGTGTGTACGTAAACGTGCGTGCATGCGTTCGTGTGTGCGTGCGTGCGTGCGTGTGTGCGTGCGTGTGTGCGTGTGCACGTATACGTGCGTGCGTACACGTGCGTGCATGTGTGCGTGTGCACGTACACGTGCGCGCGTGCGTGCGTGCGTGTGTGTGCAGGTACACGTTCGTGCGTGCGTGCGTGCGTGTGCACGTACACCTGCGTGCATGCATGCGTGCGTGCGTGTGTACGTACGCGGTGAATGTGCGACGTACACGGTGGGTGCGTGCGTGTGCGCTGCATGTGTACCTACACGGTGCGTGCAATGCCGTGCAGTGCGTGGCCTGCGCGTAGCGTGCGCCTGCGTGTGTGCGCGCGTGTCAGGCTACAGCGTCGTGGCCTGCGTGCGGTGGCCGTGCACGTACACGTCTGGCCGTGCGATGCGCGCGTGCGTGTGCCACGTACATGGTGCACGTACCACGTACGGGCCGTCGCGTGCGTGCGTGCGTGCGCGTGCGCCCGTGGTGTGCACGTACACGCTTGCGTGGCGTGGCGTGTTAACTTATCAGCGTGCGTGCATGCCGTGCGTGCGTTCGCTGTGTGCTGCACGTACACGTGACGTGGGGCGTGCGTGCGTGTGTGCGCGCGTGTGCAGTACACGTTTCGTGCGTGCGTGCGTGCGTGGTGTGTGCGTGGTAGCGGATACAGCCACGGAGTGGTGCGCATGTGCCGTAGACGTGGCGTGCGCACGTACACGTGCGTGCATAGTTGCTGTGTGTGTGCGTGGCGCACGTACACGTGCGTGCGTGGTGTGTAAGCTACACGCTGTGCGTGCGTGCTGTGAACTTAGCACGTGCGTGCATGCGGTGCGTGGCGTCGGCGTGTGTGCACGTACACAGTAAGCGTCCGCGCGCAAGTGACGTGTGGTGCGCGCGTGTGAAGTCACGTTGTGCATGTGTGCGTGCTGCGGTACGTTGCGCGTGCGTGGCATGCATGTACACGTAGAACGTGCGGCGTGCAGTGTGGCAGCGTACACGCTGCGTGCATGCGTGCGTGCGTTGCGTGCGTGCGTGCGTGGCGTGTGCACGGTACACGCGTGCGTGGCATGAGATATAGGTGTGTGCGTGCGTGCGTGCGTGGTGGCGCGTGCGTGACGTGCGATGCGTGCCGTGCGTGTGTTCGTAGACGTGCGTGCGTGCTGCTTGCTATCGAACAATATCACGCATGCTGCTTGCTCTGGGCCACGTTAAACTGCGCGCATGTGTGCGCATACTGAACGTCAATGTTTATCACATGAAACAAGACACAAAAACATCACACTATAGGGGGCGTATATAGTAATATATATACTAATATATCAATATATAGATGCCTGTCATGGTCATATATTAGTTTGTGGTTTAATCTGTCATTTAGCGTTAGGGTTAGGGTTAGTATTAGGGGGGGGGATTATGATTATCAATCATTAATCATTCAATCATTAATCATTACATGATATCAAAGTTCAGGCCAACACTCCTAATGGCAGCCGGTCTAGCCGTGAAGTTATCACAACAGCAGGACATGCTGTCCTATCATAGTTTTGAATGTATATATACGTCTCATGACTTAACTGATCGAAATTATTGAGGCTGCTTATGACGCGTATTGACTCAATTGGCACTAACTCCTCCTGGTACGGGCCCGCAGCGCAGACAGGGCTCAATTCTGTCAATGACGTTTTCCACAAAACTCAATTGTTAAACAACAAAACTCAATTCTGTCGAACGCGTTCCACAAACTCAATTTTGTAAACACAAAACTCAATTCTGTCGACGCGTTCCACAAAACTCAATTTTGTAAACAGCACAAACTCAATTTCTGTCAACTTCCTGTCCACAAAACTCAATTTTGTGACACAAAGACTGCAATTCTGTCAATCCTGTCCCACAAACTCAATTTTGTACATCCAAACTCCATTGCTGTCGGAACCGGCTTCCACAAAGACTCGCATTTGTTGCCCAAATATGGCACACGCCATTGGCTAAGAAGGGCTGACCATTGGTCAGAAAGAAACAAGATGGCCGACCATGACGCATTCTGCCAAGCCGGCAGTTCTTCTGCACGCAATGGTAGCTCCTTCTTAGCATGCGTGTGCCATATTTGGGCAACAAACTCGAGTCTTGCTGAACCCGGTTCGACAGAATTGAGTTTCGGTCACAGTGTTTTACAAAATTGAGTTTTGTGGAACCGGTTCGACAGAATTTGAGTTTGGATTTACAATTGAGCTTTTGTGCGAACCGGTCGACAGAATTGAGTTTTGTGTTCACAAATAGGCATTTTGTGGGCACAGGATTTGACAAGAATTGAGTGTTTGTGTTCACAAAACTCATTTTCTGTCAAGTTTATAGTACAAATATGCTGTCCCCTGTCCATGACGCCCCGATACCTGGGCCTCCTCCATGTGTCGCATATAGACAACATACTCCTCTGTTAATTCGGCGGT